AAAAAAAGCTCAGCTGATGCCAGGCTAATGGCATGACATGCTGATTGGCTGTTTGCTGCATGCACATGCACAGGATTGGACCGAGACCTGATTGACCCTCCCCTGCACGGTGTGTGACACCTGAACACTCGTCTAGTGACTAATCCGACAGAAGCGTGTGCTGACTGCACGATCGGTTGTGTGGCTGTTAAAGGAACTGTGCCTCTGTGTGTGTGTTGTGTTCAGTGGTACTTACCTGACAATAAGCTTTTTTTAAATTATACACTAAACTTGATTCCCATCAATACTGACATACTTATTAATTGTTGTAATGTGATGCAGTAATACTTATTTATTATAATACATTTAGGTCATTTTTCATGAGTTTCTAACATAATTGTCTGCAACTGTCGAAGTTGCATTTAAAGGAGCAGCTCACCCAAAATCAAAACCATATCATTTACTTGCCGTCAAACGTTCCAGAACTTTTTTTCTTCTGTGAAGCATAAAAGAAGACATTTTTAAAATCCTCATTTATTTGCATTTGGAACATCTTGAAGGTGGGTAAATTTGGCATCTTTGGTTTCTGGGTGAACTGTTCCTTTAACTGGTGTTTCCAGAGAACAGCACATAGTTGTGCTGTTGGTTTGAAACTGCCGGCATGTAATGTGTGGTGTGGACACTAGAGGGAGACACTGTATCATTCAGCTCAGTTCTGCTCAAACCACTCTGTCTCCAAATATGCCCGTTGGAATTACTAACACATTACATTTAATTTGTCACACTAACTGAATTACCAGATTTCAGTAACTCTTTTATGATGTAGGAGACAATGTAGTAGAGGAGACAATCCTAGTAGACAATGATGAAACATCAGACATGCTAAACAATATCTATCTCCGCTAATAAAAAAAGTCACCAAAAGTTTGTCAAAATTCAGGAGTCTGGTGCATGAATAATGTACCATAACTCAAAGGCCGGAACCCGATCATTAATGCTATTTACTGTATATTGGAGCTCTTGAGATGCTCGCTCCCCTTCATGACAGGAGCACAGCATATTCTTTATAGTGGTGCCACTTGAAATGGGAATTCAAAAGGAGAACATTTAAACTGTTTTTGAAATGAATGCAACTTCTGTGAGTGTATTTTTTCTAAAATAAAGTTTGTTTTTCAGTTCTGGGTTATGTAATAACCTCTCTGAGGTTTGTCTGAATTATGTTTGTCCTCATTCAAGGAGACCTTGCAAGAGAGGAACACGTTGGAATGTAGGCTTAAACATTCAATGCTGCAGTATTTCTATTAAAAGTTATCAAACTAGTTTATTTTCTTCTTTATTTTCTGTGTAATAAAAGTTTTTATCAGCAACTAAAAAACATTTATCCCCGAATTAGCTAGACCTTATACTGACAGTCAACTAAAATAGTTTTAAATTTGTTTTAATTTGATCAATTTTGTATTTTATTGTTTTTTCTGCTTTAATGTTTAGTGGTGGAAAATAAAATCACAGAAATCTAGTTTGCAGGCTACAAATTTTGGTGGATATTGTGGATAACACTTTAGATTAGGGAACTCAAATTCACTAATAAGGGGTTGCTTATTAGCATGCACATGATTAGCATATTGGCCATATATTAGTATTTATAAAGCACACATTGATGCCTTATTCTGCTAGATCCCTTAATTTGATCCAGTACCTAAACATAACCTTTACGAATAACTACCTTACTATCAATAAGGAGCAAATTAGGAGTTTCTTGAGGGAAAACTCTTAGTTAATAGTGAATATGTGTTCCCTAATCTAAAGTGTTACCAAATTATGTCCCACATTTTGGTTAATGAAATTATAAAAATTCTAGAATGGATGAATGAATGAATGAATCTGCTCGTATAAATTTCAGTTTGAGCTCCCAAGCTTGATAATCAAAATTTTCTTTAAGTTTAAAGTTGCTTTATATTTTTGGTAACACTTTATTTTAAGGTGTCCTTGTTACACGTTACATGTTTACTGTTATAATAACAATAAATTATGCATAATTACATGCAAGTAATCCTAAACCCAACCCTAACCCTAACCATATAGTAAGTACATAAAATAAAGATTAACCAAATTTTCTTGCCGACTTTTTCTAAAAAAAAAAAGGTTCTGTTTTTTTCCCCCCATTATTTATGTCTTACCCTATAGGCTTCTATTGTAAAAGCATGACTATAAACATGATAGTGGCTTTTACAAACTGAAGAACGAGCTGAAATGATCTTTTGTGATAATTGGCATTATGCCACACGCTGTTGATTAACATTTCATTGCATTGAAACTGAAGCATTCCTTTAAAGGGATAGTTCAGCCAAAAATGAAAATTCTGTCATTAATTACTGACCCTCATGTCGTTCCAAACCCTTAAGACCTTCGTTCATCTTCAGAACACAAATTAAGATATTTTTGATGAAAACCCAGCTTTCTGACCCTGCATAGACTGCTGAAACGGAAATGTTCCCAGATCCAGAAATGTAGTAAGAATATCGATGAAATAGTCCATTAGTGGTTCAACCGTTATTTTATGAAGCTACGAGAATACTTTTTGTGCACAAAGAAAACAAAAATAATGACTTTATTCAACAATTCGTCTCTTCTGTGTCACCGTCCTCCGTCATTATCGGACTATTTTAACGATGTCCTTGCTACCTTTCTGGGCCTTGAACGTGGTGGTAATTCTGTTGCTGTCTATGGGAGGGTCAGAGAGCTCTCGGATTTCATCAAAAATATCTTAATTTGTGTTCTGAAGATGAACGAAGGTCTTACAGGTTTGGAACGACAAGAGGGTGAGTAATTAATGACAGAATTTTCCCTTTATCCCTTTAACTCTCCTCCTGACAATGTTACCTTTTGTTCAACCTTCATTTGTTTCTTAGTTTTTCCTCACTGTCCATTTTTCCATCATCTCTCTGTGTTGGTGGTGTGTCTCGTTTGTGGTGTTTGTTTGGCTTCGCCCCCATTCTGTTCCTCTAGGTACTTCTTCCCTCATTTGGACTCCCCCAGAGCGGGATCTCGCCTGGCCCACCTCCTGCCTCCCCCCTCTCTCATCGAGCAAATGTATGAGCCTGATCCGTCCCACGCTCCTCAGATACGTCAGCGACACACGGCCAACTCCACCAATCAACCCACCGAACATGACTGAGAACCTCACACTAACCTGCCTTTATATGCTTCCTCACATTTAGTGTGTATAATTTGTGTCATCACATGTGATCGCTGTTTTTGGTTATTTAATTTTCTTTATTAACATGATCAAAATTGCCTTTGTTATGTCCAGATCATAGTTTACCCTAAAAAAGAAATTATAATAAATTATATTTAAATTATATATAAAGAAAATGAAGACGACTGTTTTCATGATTTTTTACTGTAATATTTTTGAGTTTTACAGTAAAAAATACTGTTATGAAATGTTTGTAGTTAAATAATTATAAATTAAGGGTAGTATAACTGATAATGTGATGCATAAATACTTTTATAAGTAGCATGTTATTTTATTATTATTACTATTATTTTGCATTTATTTTTAAGGAAAGTTATCCTTACTTTATGAAAATGATGTCACAATGCTTTTGATTTTGATGTAAAATATGACTGGGCCTTTACTTGACTGGTTGAGATTTATCTGGTGTATTTGGTACATTGTTTCACAATCTGAAACTTTTTACACAATGTTTTTCCACATTAAAATAAAAAATAAAATAACAATAATAATAACAAAATAAAAAAAACTGGAAAAAAATGTCTACTTTTCATTTTGTTAGGTTAAAACGATTTAAAAAGATGTATGAATTTGGTCTTTCAATATGTAGTTATACAATCAAAAATGCTGTATATATAGTGTCAATATGTATATATACACATTACACACACACACAGTCCTGATCAGATCAAACACTTTGAGTCGTGGTAGTTGTGGGTTGTTTTTCTCTTCTGTGTCTGTGGCAGATGTAAGTGGTCAGGGCTTTGGGCCTCGGGCTGCTGAGAGTGTTAATCAAGAGAACATACAGTATCGTGGCCTAATTACACACGTGCCAACCCTGTGGCCATGTCTGCACTGGGCTGGCATGGACTCTCTCCACAGAACCACACAGTAATGGCAAACACACTTGTTAAATCCTTGCCAGAGAGTTCAGGCTCTTTTTGGTAAATGAGTCTTTTAAGAGGGTGAAATGTCACAAGCCCTCCTCTCACATTAGCACCTCCCTCTCTACTGGCCCCGCCCCTTCCTACTGCTGTCTCATCACTCCACACACACACACACACACACACACACAGTATATTTGATCATTTTTCTGAAAAATAATTTTACTTGAAGAAATTGTAAATGCTGTAATCAAAATCAGTTGTCAATCTATCTATCTATCTATCTATCTATCTATCTATCTATCCGTCCGTCCGTCCGTCCGTCTTTCTATCTATCTATCTATCTATCTGTCCGTCCGTCCGTCCGTCCGTCCGTCTATCTATCTATCTATCTATCTATCTATCTATCTATCTATCTATCTATCTATCTATCTATCTATCTATCTATCTATCTATCTATCTATCTATCTATCTATCTATCTATCTATCTATCTATCTATCTATCTATCTATCTATCTATCTATCTATCTATCTATCTATCTATCTATCTATCTATCTATCTATCTATCTATCTATCTATCTATCTATCTATCTATCTATCTATCTATCTATCTGTCTGTCTGTCTGTCTATCTGTCTGTCTGTCTGTCTGTCCATCCGTCCGTCCGTCCGTCCCTCCATCCATCCATCCATCTATCTATCTGTCTGTCTGTCTGTCCATCCGTCCGTCCATCCGTCTATCTATCTATCTATCTATCTATCGTGATGTCTGAGCGCTCGTTGGTACTCCTGTCCTGCAGGTGTCGCTGCAGTGTGTTGTAAATGACTGACAGAGCGAGACAGAGGGCTGGACTGACTGGAACACAACGGGAGTTTGTGCTCTGCTGAGTTTTGGCCATGAGAGTGAGACAGTCAGTCTAGACGCTCTTGACAGCCTCGTCTGGAGGAGAGACACTTCCCTCTGCGGCTCTGTCCCCATCACGACGACACATTACGAGCGTAAGCCATTTCTATCTATCATATGAAGTTATTTTATGATGGCCGGGAGTGGTTCGAGACTGCAAATGTGCCGCATTTCTGCAAGGAAAAAGCAATTGAAGTTGTTGCAGAGAGTCGCAATGGAAAAGATTCTATGCGCGTTCACGCTCTTAAAGGGACCGTTGCTAATTAATCAATGCTGCGTAAATGTTCAGTTTGCACGACTGCGGCGTTCTTGCATTAAAGAAGCGTTAAATAACGGAGCTGTGCGCCTATAAAAACTTTTTGGTGTCAAATCAAGAACATTTAATTTTCATTTGCTGCAAAGTCAGGACTTTGGTATCCTTGTCTGTTTAAAAGTTTCTAAACAGAAGGTAAACACAGTATGTATTTGGAAATATAAGCTGTTTGTGACAGTTTAACGGCAGTTTTTAGTATGCAATAGAAATACCAGAATGCTGTCTCTGAACTATTTTTGTAGTTTTGTTGTGAGAGAGCCAATATGGCTCTAGTATTTATTCAACTAAATGCAGTGTTATGAACGTTATGCGAAAAAAAATAAAAAATACTGACAGGCACACACAAAATAAGATAATCTGAAGCTTGGCTTTCAAAATGTTTTTGGTTATTGCAGGGCTGTGTCGTTTTGGCATGCAATGGAGCTGTTACTCTGTTGTTCCCTTATAGGCGTGCATAACAACCTCAGGGGCCAGTTTGAAGACTCATAACTCATCACGTCTGAGAGAGAGGTGAATCAGAGACCATGGCTGCAATCTCTTTCTGTCAGTCTCACACAGATGCATAATTCAGCCCCCACTGGTACCTTAAATGTGGCTCAACAGTAATTCTTATAAAAACTTCCTCTGTCTCTTTCCTGCGGTCATTTTGAATGGCTGATCTAACATAAAATGGCATTATGCGGAGCCCCAGGCCCCAGATTCCCTCATTTGTTCCTAGTGACGCACTCAGACTAGCACCATAGAGTGCATTAGTGCCCACCCACTTTTTCAGCACCACTGGTTCCGGAAGTATTTTTTTTTCTCCATTAATTTTTCCCATAGGGATATTTAAAAAGCCTTTGTTATGTGCCATGAGCAAAACTAACCAGCTACAAGGTGAATCACAACATTACAAACTTTTATTTAAAGCAGTAAGATAAATAAAAAATGGACATAAAGATGAAGATACAAGACTATGTACTTAATGGCTTTAATGAGGGAAATAACTACAATCTCACGAAGCATTGCGAATGACAATTAAATTGAAAACAATGGTAAAATATAAAACTATTAAATTTAAAGTTGATTATATCTTTGAATATATACAGAAACTGTATATTTTGAGTTCACTGCAAACTATATGCATACAAATATTTAGGTATTGGGTAGGGAAAATTACGATTTGCTTGCCCCCAGCTCTCTGATTGGTGGAATTTTCTGTACAGCATCATGGGTAATGTAGTTTTTCACCACACGTTCCCATGTTAAACACGAATGTTTTAAAATTATGTTGAAATAATGCAAACAGACAGCCTCAGCAAAAGCATACTATTGATTAACAATCTCCTAGCTCACAACAAGTCTTTCTGTAAAGGTTTAGCGTTAAAAATCAATGGACCTATGGAACCTGTGGAGAAAATAAATAGAGTTTTTAACTTAAGAAACCCAACTGTTACACTCTATAACACGGATGTGTTCCGAAACCTAGTGAGCTGCCTAAGTAGGCATCATAGGCACACTGCTGATACGAAGACTGTTCCAAAAAAGGACGTTCCATTTCAGATGCTGCTTACGTATAGGCCTAGGCCTCAAGACAGCTGACTAGGTTTGGAACAGAGCTTGTGATTTCCCTTCCAGCTGCCAAATTAAGTGATACTCCTCGCTGCCCCCCACCCCCCCTCTCTCGCTCAATGTCCATTTGATTCCACTTCTGTTAAACACCCAGCCAGACGTACATCATGGAAACTCTTGGTCTTGTTTAGTCATGTGGAGTATGACTCTGGTCATGCTGTCTGTACTTGCAGATGCACCACAGATTTCCACAGAAATGGAACGCCTGCCATTTATAAAATTCTATGAATCTCTGGCTCCTTACGTCTTTATTGAATATTTTGGCTAATTGGATAATGCCCTCAGCTATCAATAAAATCAGTTTAAAAATTTTTAAAGGGGTCATAGGATGCTACACGCACTTTTACAAGTAGTTTGAACTGAAATGTGTGTTGGCAGTGTGTGTACACAACCACCCTATAATGATAAAAATCCACCCAGTGTTTTTTTAATTAGCAAGTTTCACGATGAATACAGCTAAAGTAAACAGTCTGTGAGAGCAGCTCGGAAGAGAGGGGCGGGGTCAGCAGAGCTCATTAACATTTAAAGGAAAATGCTACAAAAACGGCTTGATCTGAAAAGAGCTGTGTTTGACAGGGTAAAAAAAGGTGTTTTTTACACTACCATTGAGAAATTTTAACCAAACTATGTTACAGACTTTTCATTAAGACCCTAAAGAATCGTATCAACTTGTGGAAAATGGGCATCCTATGACCCCTTTAACATTTTTAACCCTATAAAGTCATAATTGTCATTAAAAGGGTTAGTTCACCGGAAAATGAAAATTCTGTCATTATTTACTCACCCTCATGTCGTTCCAAACCCGTAAGACCTTCGTTCATCTTCAGAACACAAATTAAGATATTTTTGATAAAATATGAGAGCTCTCTGACCCTCCCATAGACAGCAATGCAACTGCAATGTTCCCAGGTCCAGAAACGCAGTAAGGACATCGGTAAAATAGTGTGACATCAGGGGTTCAGCCGTAATTTTACGAAGCTACATAATCAGCGTTGTTTACGTTCAGTAGACTTATGGGTTTGGAATGACATGAGGGTGAGCAATTAATGACAGAATTTTCATTTTTGGGTGAACTAACCCTTTAA